ATATATATATATATATATATATATATATATATACATATGTATGTATATATATATATATTTATATTTATATGTGTATATATATATATACACACACACACACCACACACACACACACACACACACACACACACACACACACACACACACACACATATATATACATATATATATATATATATATACTATATATATATATATATATATATATATATATATATATATATATGTATATATATTATATATATATATATATATATATATATATATATATTATATATATTATGTATATATATAATATAATATATATATATATATATATATATATATATATATATATATTATATATATATATATATATATATATATATATATATATATATATATATATATATATATATATTATATATATATATATATTATATATATATATATATATATATATATATATATATTATATATATATATATATATATATATATATATATATATGTATATATGTATATGTATATATTTATATATATTTTTTATTTATTTATTTATTTATATATATATACATAATATACACACACACACACACACACACACACACACACACACACACACACACACACACACACACACACACACACACACACACACACATATATATATATATGTGTGTGTGTGTGTGTGTGTGTATATATATATATATATATATATATATATATGTATATATATGTATATATATATATATATATATATATATATATATATATATATATATATTTGCACACACACCACGTGCCCGGGGTTCCCAAGCCCGATAGTAGTAACACGGCTTCTGTTGTGATAAATAATAATTACAGTCACAACATTGTAAGACATGAAACGTCTAATCCAAGCAATGTGGATGCGGATGGGTTTACACTCGTGGAAAAAAGAAAAAAGAAGACAAAAGAGAACAAAGATCTACTGCTAATCCTTTACAGTGGGCAGCTAAACCAGAGGTGTTGTACCTTTACATAACAAGCTGCCGCACAGACACAGAGGAAGCAGATATCGAGAATCATCTACTCGTTAACTTCCCTGAGGTGGACGATGTAAATGCATTCAAAAGAAAAATGAGTAATTCATATTATGCCAGCTTCACTGTTTTAAAGGCAAAGCACTTGTAGCTGATGAATTTCTGAAATCAGATTCCTTCCCCAGCCCCGTGAGTCTTTTTAAATAGAAACAAGTACAAAACCTCGCAACCCAAGCGGGATGTTTGACCAAAATGACTCGTCAACAATAGCACCAGCTAACGCAAGACCCCGCAGAACACTTCCCAGCATTTCCCTTGCAATTGCATCCTGCCCTACAAACAGTGGACGAACTTGACGTCATAATGAAACAAAATACTATCGATATTGCAGTAATCACAGAAACGTGGTTCAAAGACGATACATTAAACATCGGAACCATACAGGGGTACCACTTATTTAACAAAATTCGTCAGGGCAGAAAAGGTGGTGGCGTTGGTAATTACATCAAAGATACTATACCCTGCATCACTATAAAATCCATCTGTCCACCAAGTGACGACCTTGAAACATTATGGCTCGCTGTTAGACCTACATGGCTGCCTCGCGAAATCAGTGTGCTGGTAATCTGCGGGATATATTTCCCCCCAAGGGCACCTACCGAAGAAAGCCTCAGAGAACACATAATAGAAAATGTGTTCATCCTCCAAGCAAAGTACGGAAATCCCTTTTTTGTAATTCTTGGCGACCTGAACACTTTTTCTGATTATGAAATCACCTCTGTACTGAATTTTAAGCAGGTTGTGTCATTCGCCACGCGTGAGAAAAATACCTTGGACAAAATCATAACAAAAAAAGAGCAACTTCCCTGCTCCCTTTAGGCAATAGTGATAACTTGTCGCTGCTCTGGGTACCAAAGAAATACCAGGCACCCACACAATTAAAGGGAACAAAACTCATGCGTAGATTCCCTGATTCTCAAATCCGCGAGTTCGAATCATGGATTACACATCATGATTGGGCCGACGTTATCAACGCCCCCGACCCGAACACTAAATGCCAACTTTTTTTTATAAATCAGTCTGGAACCAAGTTGACAACTGCTTCCCCTTAAAAAGAACATCCACTCACCATCCGGACAAACCATGGGTCACCAACAGGATCAAAGACCTTATCCTGGCAAGACAAAAAGCTTACAAAACAAAAAACATCGATGCAACAAAGTATTTGGCAAAAAGGTTAGACAAGAGATAAGATCGGCTTAGAAAAAGTATTATAAGCAAATAATTGATAAAATCAGTGACGCAAATCCCAAATCGTGATATAGCCACATTCGGAATTTAATCGGTGACAAAAGTGACAGTTACCTCTCTCACATCAGCGAAATTGCCGACTCGCCAGAAAGCGCTGCTAACATCATCAACTGTCACTTTGCGAACATCAGCAAGCTACTCCCACCACTACAATCAACAGAACTGCTAACTTACTTACCCTCGCGCCCTCTGCAAGCAATTGTCAGCGAATACGACGTGTACCAACACTTGAAAAGGATAGCAAAAAGCAAATCTCCTGGCCCTGATGACATCCCGCCGAGGTTACTACGAGAATTCGCTCCCGAGCTCGCCACCCTCCTCTGCAATATCTTTAACTGCTCCATCACTGAGGGCGTGGTGCTTGACCTATGGAAGCGTGCTGTCACAGTCCCAATTCCCAAAACAAATCCACCTAATTCTCTCGATGACCTTAGGCCCATATCATTCACACCTATTCCTTGTAAAATACTCGAGAGAATAATTGCTATAGAATTGTGGAAAATATTCGCCCCCAAATTAGATCATCGCCAATTTAGAAATACCAAGGTTAACTCCACAGTCCACTACCTAGTTGACTTGATCAATTATATCACTTCAAATGTAGACAAAAGACTCGAGGTCACCACCGTCACCATCGACCTGAGGAAAGCATTTGATCTCATCGACCACACCACATTAATTAAGAAAATTATTTCTCTGGGTTTCCACGAGGGCTGGATGGAGTGGATATCTTCCTTCATCAACCTTCGCTCCAAGACGACTCGTGCAAACAACCAAATATCCGATGAAATTGATCTTCACTGCGGTGTCCCTCAAGGAACGGTCCTCGGCCCATTATTGTTTCTGATAATGGTAAATGAGGACAAAATTACGCATGTGAAGATCTACAAATATGTGGACGACATGACACACTTGCACACCCACCAGGGCAAGGAAACGCCTTATTACAAGACGTCCTTAAACAAGTGTCAGAGTGGGTTTCATCTAACAAAATATCTGTCAACACCAAGAAATGCACAGAAACAAAATTTAAATTTAACAA